TGCAGCAAAAGAGAACCGCCCGCATTTCCGAGGCTCGAGCGGCATACGCAGGACTGAAACACCTTTGGCGTAGACGCGACATTTCACGGAAATTGAAAGGCCGTGTATAGTGCTACCGTTCGTTCAGTTCTGCTCTATGGTTGCGAGACCTTGAATTTACGGGTGGAAGACACCTGTTGTTTAGCAGTGTTCGATAATCGGTGTTTATATAGTTTAGCCCATGTGGGAAGGAGCGAACGGGTTAGCAATCTGGAGGTAAGTCGTGTTTGGGAGTTTATCAGGGATGAACCTGCTAGCACACCGAATTCAGATTAGTAGACCGCTGGCTAGGACATATATTGCGTATGCCCAACTGTCGTCTGCCGCACCGCGCTTTATCCATTGTTGCTGAAGGAAACCACGTGGAGGTCAACAGATGACGTGGAGACGAGGCATGAAGAAATGCACTGAGCGATTAGGTAGTGTCTTCCGACTTAATGGTTGGTGGCCGAAAGACTGTGACTGATTGGTTAAAAGCACTGAAGGATAAGGCAACTTGCCGACTGCAGTGATGTTCTTCTTGTCCTTTCATATAAGGTTAGAATGTTTGAAAATACGAGTATGCACAGTTCGATTCGGCACTGTGCTGACCTCCGTCGAATCAGACCCAAAACTTATCCATCATGTACTTTCTCACTTTGTGTACACAGAGCTTAGTAGCGACCAATGAAGCTAACTTCTCTGCATCTCGCTGTACGATGAGGAGGATGAGGAGTGTCAATGAAAACATACCGGGTTGACTAAGATTGCGAAGAAAACGAGGGAGTGCATCAGCGTTATTTGGTACAACATTCAGTAGTATAAGTGAGCCTCAAAGTAACGATCCTGAGGTCTCCAACCGCCGATCCTAACGAGACCTACGAGCTGAAGTCCCGTGGTCAGGGTTTTTATACCCTTATGCTAGGTTTAAGTTGGAGTGTCTTTAACGGGCAATTATTTATTGTTATCTAGATTTACATCAAGAGTTATGAGATTTATCCCATGATCTGATCTGGGTTTAGCGAGGAAGCTCTAGAAAAAGATTTAATCTATTATTATATCGCACACCCTTCTGAATCCAGAATGTACGAAACAAATCAGCACAATCGTCATTATAACAAGGAATCAGGTACATGATTTTCTCACGGGAATTCTGCCGGGTTACCCAAGGCCAAATCAAGTGAACTTCATCGGGGATTCATAACCAGATTCTCCGGTTAGTATAAGCCTAGCCCATGGTGGCATCTGAAAACTGTAATCTATTGGGGCCGGTGTCGTTCATCAGATCCTTTAGACAAGATTCTAGGTATCCAATACACCTTATTGTCCAATCGAGCGTGTGAACAACGCTAAAACCGGTAAGGTGTGGTTGTGTTTCGTACACCTCGTGTTTGTTTTATAATCAGAGTTTTCCCTAACTCACCGACGTGAAAAACCAATGGTTCATCGACCCGGTTATCACCCCGGATGTCAGCTTCTCATCTACTCACCTAGGTGGGGAAACACCGCCACGGGAAGGCAGTGAGAAGGGCTTTTGTCAGATGAGGCTATTTGGGATGCTTGGTCGTACAAGAGAAATTTGTGAGTTGCAGGGGTAGGGGATTACTCACAACCTGCTTCCACTCCGGCTATAGTGAGGTTTTTAAAGACAATTCATGATAAACTCAACTCATCCAGCCAACAACCGAAAGGAACGACACATCGATTAGATGTCACTGAAGTCTTCCAAGGTGCACCACTGACGCACAACGGTGGTAGCACGAGGTTCCACTGATGGCGCACCCGATACTACTCTTGTTACTGAATCATACGCATATGATATCAGTAGTTATGTTGTTAGTTCCCGTACTTAGGGAGTTTACCCTTCCTAGTATCAAACTAATGAAACCTTGCCTAACTGAATGCCACTTCGAAGTCAAAGATGACTGTAATGCATTGTGGCAAACTTCTTACTCAATCTGCCAAACAACTGTCACATGAAATGCAGCTATGTAGACCGTTTGGCTCGCCTCAGGAATGAATTTCTGAAACTTCGTTAAACATGTTTGTTTGTTCTTTTATTATACACTTCAGCGTGATGAACAGTAGACGGGGTAAACCAAATAGTCACAATGACCTGCTGTTCATTCATAGAAATATATATATATATAAAGACAGAGAGAGGTGCCAAAATTGGTGAGCCCAATGTGATTAGGCGGTTGCTGATGTTCGTCAGAACCTGTCACTGATGTTTGCTCACGTTCGTTTTGAATATCCATCTCAAGAAACAGAACTAAGGATTGGGATTCTAAAACTTACGAAAATAAGTTTGGCTAGATCTAGGCTGTTATTTAGGCAACGGCAGCGGAAACCTGATAGATCTGATCAGTTTAAGGAAAGCGTGTGATATAGAGCTCACCGTGGGGAATTGTCCCGGTGCAGTCTTTCCGAGCGCATTAAAAGCACGATAATAGTTGAAGCAAAACTTAATTCTGGAAGTGTCCAAGTTGCTATATCTAGTGGAGAAACGTTCTCTAGAAGATCGATATCGCCAAATAATGGCGATACGTGCTAAATATCGACGGTACACTTGATTGTGCCCGGTAGAGAGGGGTTCTTATGTTAGAAGGAAAAGAATAACGGTAGTCTTGCTTTTGTAATTAATCTGCCTGATCTATAGGCCAAGTCACTACTTGATATCCGAACCTTGATGGTTCTGATAAGTATGTCATGGTTATGTAACCATGCCCTGATAGTTCTCAATTATACGGAACTGGTGGGAAGCTGAACCTGTCCTAATGCTAGTCACGTGCGTAGGGTGAAGGTGCTACTGGTCCGTGATTAGATGATCACGTCCAGCTTGAATGGATCTATCAGGAAACTAAGAGAAAAACAAGAGGTAAGAAAAGTAACCTACCGTTGCAAAACTGTCGGTTGAAGAACCGCCACAAGTGTATTGCGCATGCCCAGTTATCGTCTACCGCACCGCTCCGCACCTTATTCGCAGTTGCGGCTCCAGGTTGGAAGAAACCGCGTGGAGGTCAACAGCTGATGTGGAAACGAGGTATGACGAAATGCACAGAGCGATCAGGTAGAATCGGTGTTTCCCGTCTTCCAGGTTGGGATCCAAAAGACTGCAATTGGCTGGTTTGGGGACATTAAAGGATATGGCGACTAACCGACAGCAGTGGCGTTCTTGTCGTTTTTGTCAGGTCGGAATGCTTGAAAATGTATTTATGCACACGTAGATTGTGTACTGTTTGTTGACCATGGAAGTTCACTTTCTTTGCCTCCCTCCAATCAGGTCCGATCCATCTCCATCTTGTGCTTTATTTGTGTACATTGTGAACTTGTCAACAATCAGTGAAGTTTACTTTACTGTATCTCGCTGTACGATGATGATGACGTTGGTGAAGAAGCTCATACAGGGTGCTGCCCCCTAGCCTTCTATACACAAAGGCGAAGATGAAAATTAGGTATTGTTAAAATAACCCGAATTTGTTGGATATGCTCATTCTCAATGTGGCATTTCACGTACCTTTGGTTCTATTTCAGCTTATCTGGATTTCTGTTTCCAATCAGTTCCTAGGAAAGGATAAATATAAATGGATTTAGATGACATATTCACGGCGAATCCGAAGAAATGCGAACCGAATTACTTTTATGTTCTCGGCGTGAGCCCGAGCTCGACGGTGTGCGGTCATTTTCACATTCCCTATAGATATGATGCCATATTGCAGGTTGACCAAATTGATGCAGAGTTTCGAGTTAAGGCTCGAGAGTTGCACCCTGACAAAAATTTACATGAAGATACTAGTAAATATATCAATCTAGTGGCGGCATAAGTCACAGAGATACAGTTTCAGCTTTTAAATCGTGCACGAGAAGTTCTCACAGATCCAATTTTAAGCAAGCAGTACGGATGTTGGCTTGATGCTGGAATCGGCATTCCATTTGAAAAATGGCTGCTTATGAAAAATCAGTTCCAAACTGTAGGTCTCTGTTTTCTCTTTGACTAATTGTATTAGTGTATGCACTGGTCATTCAATCACTCGAATCAAAACAATATGTTGACAACTGCTGGTGAGTCAGGTAAGGCTGAAGTTGTTTTCTCTGTTGATAATGAATGCTGACTAAAGTTTCCACTACCAGATGCTCGCAAACATCGAGTCAAACGAACCTAAATGATATATTGCATCGATTCCGTACGTACCAGATTTGAGGTCATCTTGTTTCCATCATCATTCCGGTCATCATTGGGATTCATGCTTCATTACTTAATTTTCTGAACTTTCTCGTTTTTTTTTAAATTTTGATCTACTGATTTATCTCCGAATTCAGTCTTTATTCTTTTTTTTTTTTGTTAATTTGCATCCACTATAATGTATGCCATCTGCTTGTCATTGTCAATCTTGTTTCGAGGAGTGCATAATTTCAGTCAAAAGGCAAGTATTTGACGATCACGCTGCAAAACGTTATTAAAACCCCATTTTTCAACCTTTTTGTTGTTATTTACAGTAAAATGGTCATGTTTTTACGATGTCATGTCGTAAATGAAAAATGGAAACTGTTGCAATAAGTTTATCTTTATTACAATAAAACGTATCCTTTGAAACAATCATCTTACTTTGCTTGTTTTCCTCTGCGTGAAACAGACGCCACGTCACGTCTGAGGCTAAACCTACCTACTGCGTATAGAAGAGGTACCACTTGAGTGAACAAGTGCGCTTTGCTTCATTGAATCTGCGGTCGTGAACAATCAACTCCCATTCCCGGGCAATCTCTCTGCTACGAAAGCGCAAAATAAGACCATCACAATCATCCTGCTACTCTGACAAAGAATACTTGATATTGTTCATGACAGAAAAGATGGGCTGGCACTAGTATACTGCTCTGTACCATACTCTGAAGATTTTTCTTGGTTTATTCCTTGAATCCAACGTACTCTCGCATGAAATAAGGCTGTCTGGAACTGGTGATTACTCTGAAGAAGAGCGATAATTAGATGATGTTATAATCTTCAATTTTCTGAACACAAGTCACCCATGTGCCGTGTGAAGGTTATTCGCATCCGTAGAAAGGAGTGTTTTGGTAATTAGGTGAACGCATCCAGCTGTGGCAGACTTGATGAGACTATGAAAGTAAAAATAAGTGTGAAAATGCCTTACCACCCAAACTATTTCCTCTTTGTTATTGATATATATATATATATACTCTACGAATTATCACTGATTATTTGGGTGCATACGGAGTATTTTTACTTGAAAACGATCACAAAATGCCTCTAATGGCTATTCCTCGAGTGGAGTGCTGAATTATCTACCTATCATCCCGTCTTTTTATTATTGTTTTTTTTATCAAGCAAAGCCTTTGCCATACGTGGAAAGATCTTAATGCACACCACTTAACAAAACTTGTCGTAAAAAGAAAAGTGGACATAGGCGCATCATCATCGTACAGCGTAATACAGTGAAGCAAACTTCACTGATCGCTGTCAAACTCATATTGCATACAAGGTAAGTGATAGTGTGTAAGGAGGACAGGGATTGAACCTATTTTTAAGGACGGGAAGAGAAAGCGAACATTCACGATCAACACAGAGTAAACAATCCAACTGTGCATACATACTATTTCAAGCATTCTGGTCTGATGAGAAGTGGCAACACGATCGCCACTGCTATCGGTTCGCAGCCGTGGCCTTCACTGTCTCCAACCATGGGGTTGCGGAGTCTTTTGGACCCCAACCCGGAAGGCGAGAGACACCCACTCTACCTAATCGCTCTGTGAACTTCTTCATGCCTCGTCTCCACGTCATCTGCTGGTGCTCACGTGGCTTTCTCCAGCCTGCAACAGCCACTGTGAATAAGGCGCGCTGCAGTAGGCAACCGTTAGACATACACAAAACATGTCCTAACTAACGGAGCCTGTTGAGCTGAATTCGATACGATAAAGAGTTAGTGTTCAGTACATTCCCAAACGCCCGACGATTACTTCTAAGTTACTAACTCGTTCACTTCATCCCACTTGGGCCAGACTACACAATCATGGATTGTCGAACACTGCTCAATGACCAATGTCTTCTGCCTGCAAGTTCAAGGTCTCACAACCTTAAAGCAGAACTGATCGCTCAATGGCACAGTATACGCGAATTTTCAACCTCAATGAAACCACATCGTCGCCACAGGTGTTTCAGTCCTGCGTACGCTGCTCGAGCCTTGGAAATGCGGGCGATTATCCCCTTTGATGCGCTATCGTCGTTGGTCACGCAGCCACCTAGCTACTAGAAGCAGTCAACTTCAGCTAATTCATGACCGTCTGGTTTCAGAACGGAACTCGGCGACACCCAGTCTTGCAGCATCACTTTGCGCTTTGAAGATGCAAAGCACATACCGAACGGAGCGGCGGAACTTGCTAACCTGTCAAGTGCTCTTTGCGCATCCTCCATAGATTCGAACAAGCAAACGATGCCTAGGCGAATCGAATGCGTTGTGTACTATCAAATGAACATGAATTGTGATTTAGGGGCATATTTTCTAGCAACAGGTTCAGTAAGCCTAAATTTTTGGAAAAATATCGAGGTGTACCATTGCACAGAAAATTTCTGCAAGATAATTGTATGGTTTTATCACAGAGCGTTGTCTGTGTTGTTGCAGCCACTCAGTGTATGCATCATACATCATGAAGTGGCATAAAATTACTAGGGTAACTCAACATAAGATCTAAAAAGGGGACTGATGTTTTTTGAGGAAAACGTACACTGAGTTTATAGGATTACATTCTTGAAGGAATTTATAAATTAACGACGACTAGAAGGAACCGGTCGCAAATGCTCACTGGCGACCTTCTGACCCTCTAGGAAGGACTTTTTTGAATTGATTAGCAAACAAACATTGCACAAGTTTTGAGATCATGTAGGAAAGGTGTTTTATTAGTGGTCGTGGATTGAAGAAGAACACATACAAATTCAATTGCGGCCCATGAGACACTCTGCCATGGTCAGTTGGTTTCATCTCTCAATAGGGGAAACTCATAGTACTTGCTATGATGTTGCCTCCATGGAATACCTATCAACGGACAAATGTTGTTTTCTTCGCATCAGTCAGACAAGGTAGGTTTCTTATTGCGAAATTAAACATTTTGCACCATTGCAATCGGTCGTGCGATCATGAAACAGAATATCTGGAGTTATATGTGAACGGGATTTTTTCGCGCGGAAATGCTGCGTGACACGCCAGATTAGCTTCACCCAGTGGATTGGCCGCTGGGCGAAGTATTTCAACTATCAGTTCAACCGGTCTAGTGTTTACCAGATTAACTCTTCTGCAACTGAAGCCCCATTGGCACTGTCATATGGTCCTCCGGCAGAAACGGAAATCCGATCTTGCGTTCAAGCTCTGAAGAGAAGAAAATCATTAGGAGCCTCTTACTCTTTTCTAGATGGGGTTGGTAGCCTTATAAGCTCCATTACTGACGCACTTCATAAAGTCTGGTCGCAAGAGAGCATTCCATCACGTTGGCGCTAACCACTGATCGCTCTCATCTTCAAGAAAGGTTGCGCAAAAGTGTTAGCCTCCCTTCTATTCCTAAGCCTGACTCCTTTAAGAGAGACCAATATCCGTGAACGACAAATCGGATTTCGGCCTGTCTATGGATGTGTCTATCAAATTTTAAGGTCGCATCAGGTCTTTTAGCTTCGTCGATCGTCGGTCGCAATTTTCCTTGACCTGAAAGGAGCTTTCGACTCAGCTGACCGCGAGGCTCTAATTTGTCCGCTTCTTCGGAAAGGAATTCCCGGAAGTATGCTAACTAAGGTCACTGCACTCACTTCTGGTCATGTGAGGGTCTATAACTGCTACGTACCCATTCGTCTATCAGTTCCCATTAATCGTCCAATCACGTGACAGCTTTTCATGACAGCCACTGACTAATACTCATCCAATCCGTTTTTGTCCATGAGCCAGCTTGACCTAATTGTCGGTCATCGTTTAATCGATTGATTTACTCTCACGATCATTCATTAAATCGTTAACCCGATTCCGGGGCACGCACGCCGTCTGTGTGTTCTGATTTTCTGTATTGGGTTTCGGGCCCTAAATTACGGTGTATAGCGTGGCGGTTGGAATTCGGTCTTAGCAATAACGAACTAATTTTCCCGTTCATCACTAGCAGCGGCGTTCGTCAAGGTTGTCGTATTTCACCATTGTTGTTCTATTTGGTCTGCGACGAAGTACTGGATAACGCACTAAGTAGTCTCAAAAATGTTGGTATTGTGTGGGCAGCTGGAAGAAAGCTGTGCGATTTGGAATACATAAATGATATCGTCTGTTCGAATGCATGGAGGATGAGGAAAGCCAACTTGACTAACTAACAAGTCCTGTTGATCCGTTTGGCATGCGCTTTTAACCCTAAAGGTACAGAGCAATGCTACAAAACGGATGTTGGGAGGTCCCGCTTGGAAACTAAATTTCGAGGAATTATTTGTATTAGATTACTTCTCCGACTCAGTTAGTTGCATGACCAACGACGGTATCGCAGAAGGGGAGATAACCGCACTCATTTCCAATACTTGAGCAGTGTACACCAGACAGAAACATCTTTGGCATAGACGCGACGTTTCATTGAAGTTGGAAGGTCGTTTATATTGTTGTGAGACCTCGAATTTGCCAGTAGGTGATATTTATTGACTTGAAGTGTTCGGTTATTGATGCTTACGCTATTCGGCTCTCGTGGGATGGAGCGGTCGGGTTGGTAATCTGAAGGCAAGTCGTCGTGTATGTGGGAGTTTATCGGGGATAAGTTTGCTACCGCGTCGAAATTAGATTAAGCTTCTCTGGTTAGGACGCGTATTCCGCATTCCTAGCTATCGTCTGCCTCACCGCGCTTTATTTGCAGTTGCGGTTCCAGATAGGAGGAAGTCGCGTTGAGGTCAACAGATAACGTAGAGACGAGGCCTGAACCAGCACAGAGATTAGTTGAGGTTGAAGTCTCCCGATTTCCAGGTCTAAAAGCCTGCAATTAT